ATGAAGCAAGATTCGGTAAAATAAATACTTGGGTAATGTTAATTGCTCTTTTCTGGAGGTGTCTTTTATTGAATGTGCTAACATGTAATGTGGTTTGCTTATCTTTAATTATGTCTTGTTGAGGCTGCCTTAAAAAAATTAAACAACAAAGGATTGACTCCAATAAATGATAAACTTCAAGTTATGGTTTTACCTGAGGTTGTGTGAAGTCAGGAAAAATGCTTAAAAGCGTTTAGCATACTGTCCCTCTCCTGATTTTTATGTAAAAACTTATTTTTTAAAACCTCACTCATCAAGGTCCTGGATTCCTCAGAGCATATTATAAGTACAACAAAATTAAAAGTTGAAATCCACTGAGAACACTATTTCTTTGCAACATAAATATTGTAAACCAAAGTAACCAATGGATTGAGAATCTTATTTTTTTCCCCAAATGCCCTGAACGTTGCAAGACTGATTTGCACAGGGTAGAACAAATGAAAACCATAGGACTGCAGTTCCTTCTTGGTTCAGTGCTTCTTGAGTAACTTCAGGTTATTACTATGAATGCATTTCTTAAACAAGATAGATTATTTTGAGTTAATTCCTATTAAAGAAAATGAAGCTGTTAAACTTTATCAGGAGATTACATGAAGTATAGTACACATGTTTCAGTAAGTTTAATTCACCTAAAACTAAAAAAAAAAATATTGCTTCCAGTTATGTGTCTAAAGACTCTCTCTTTTACAGGGGCTGAAACTTTTTTGAATTGATGAAGCCTGAAAGTATTATACAACACCCTGTGTTGGATAATGGCTTTTGCAGCTATGCAGAGTGCTTTTTGTTGTGTAGAAGGATGGCAATACATTGAATTGAATTAGTAAATGTATTGCCTTTTTTCTGAAAAGCGATTTAGTGTATCCCTAGTTAGTTCTTATAGAACTGGAATTATCAGAATTATTCCCTTACAGTGGAAAGGGGAAAGAATTCAGATTTAAGTTAAAACGGTCTTTGGATTCTGGAGTTGTTGCATTTGTATGGATTAATATAGTGGTTCTTAACCTTTTTAGACTCGAGGCACCCCTCGAAGAATACCAACTCATTTTCACTTTTTTTTGACTACAGAAGAATAATATAACAAATTCTTCTGTTGCAAAGGACATGGAAAGACCATACCAAGTCAGAATGTTTTTAACCCTGTGAATTCCTGTTTGAAATCTCTTGATTTATCACGTGAATTATGTTTGCATACTTAATGCTCACATTGTGAGACACCCTGCAGCATCCTTGAAAGGATCTTAAGGCACCCCAGGGATTTTAAGGGCATCACAGCACCTTAGATGAGAATCGCTGGATTTGTATGATGTTTAGTGCATTTAATATAATTATGTTATGTGTTTTAAATCTGTTGATTGTTTTTACAGCCAGGAGTGAATAGTATGGATACGCAAGCAGGTATGTATCAACAATCCATTACATTTTTAAAGCCTTTCAAGCAAAATTCTGTTAAGTATCCTAGAAAATAAAGGTTTTAAGTTATCAAAAATGGTGTAAATGAAGCTGTAGAGAGTTTATATAAATGAAGGGGGGATAGTTGGGTATTATGTTCAGCTCTTAGTTTTCTTTCCTAGCGCATTTCAGAAAAGAGAGATCTTTCATAGAAAAAATTTTTGTAAATATCACCCATTTTATATGCTTAATAACCTTATTTCATGCCTTTTCTGTTTCCTTTAATGCATTTAATCTTAAATGAATTATTTCACACATTTAACAATTAGCTCATGGCATTGTTAGCTTGTGGTGTGTTGAGGTGTGTGTGTTTTTTCCCTCCTTCAAGTATTGTCTTCTGTTCTAGATTCTGCTACTGAGACACCCAATCAGCCTGAATTTTCCTACAGTACTAAACATTGAGACCAGAGTGCATTTAAAGTCATGTCTCTTTTCTTGCCCCTTGAATAATCACATGTCCAGATTGGCGCACATTCTTCAGAGCAGTGGTTCTCAACCTTTTTATACTCACAGCACCCCTCCAAAACTTTTCCAAAATTAACAGCATTCAACTTAAAAAATTATTTTAAAATATGCTTATTTATAATATGGACATTATAATTCTGTTATTCATTAGTACATTAGTAATTCATTAGATCATCATATTATATTCACCACATTGCTGCACTACACACATCCTGCAGAGCCAGATTGGGAAGTGGCTGTAGTAGGAGCAAACGCGCTTGCCACAGCTCTTTCCTGTTCAGCTGTGCACAGTATCCCCTGGAGATAGAGATAACACGGGGCAGATGGAACTCTGTCCCACATACTTGTGTTTTCAGGAGGCATGTCATATCTGAACTGAGAAATGGTGGCAGCAGAAAGGCGTGCCTGCCTGTATTACATTATGGAGCATTTATTTCCAGTCTGCTGTCACTCCCAGGTAGAACTCCCCATACACCTTTGTTTTCAGGAGGCAAATCAGAGTCAAACTGGGAAAAGCAGCAGCAGAAACAGCATGCCTGCCTGCATAATGTAGTGCAAGTAGGAGCACCTTGCTGCTGCTGCTTCTCAGCTTGGTTTTGACATGCCTCCTGAAAAGAAGCTCATGGGAAAATTTTACTGTGCAATAGTGGTGTTGGTGCTGACATCACAGCACCTTTGGCAAGTCCTTGCATCCTCTGGTTGAGAACGACTGCTTCAGAGAAGTTTGCCTGTCTGTGAGTTGAGTTAAATTTACTAGTGAAACTGATGCAATCAATGATTGATTGTCTGAGGCAAAGTTACTTGTTTGTAAACTGTTCCTCAAACATTTAGTCCATAATGGTAAGGAGGAGGATTGCTACATGGGGCTTTGAGCATATACAAAACTCTTTTAACTTGGCTTATGTAACTGATGCACAATTCAGGAAAGCAGTTCTTCCATAATTTAACCAAGTTCTCACTTACAGGAAGGACTTAGAACTAGCTAATTTCCAAGAGTGGTTATTTAGTTGAAATACTGAAGGAGAAAGAAAGGTCACTTACCAGTAACTGTAGTTCTTGAAGTAGATTATCCACATTTCTGTCCCTCTATGTCAATTTCATTGGAGTCCTTATTTCAAATTCCAAGGGTCTGGTTCAGGAAAATACTTAAGCACATCGAGTCTCCATTGGAAGTTAAGCACAATGGAAGGTAAGCCCACGCTTATTTCCTGCTCTGAATAGTTTGCTTCCTTGAATTGGGGTCTGTATAAGCAGAAGTTGCGTTTGCGGGAGGTCATGTCTCATTGTATACCCTCATCTCAAACAGTCAGTGCTTCAAGGAGATGCATTTAGCAGCTGTACACTGTTTTCTAAAGAGTTTTGACTGGATGTCTCTAAGCCTGACTGTTCCAGCAATGTTAATCCATATGGATAATCTGCTTGAACTGCAGTCACTGGTTGATAACTTTTCTTCAGTTTTCTGGAAATCTTTTATTTTTTTATTTTATTTTATTTTTACAGTAAGCCGCTTTTGTAGTAAGCTGGGATGGGGGGAAGAATATAACTTGTCTATTTACTTGTCTGTTTTCTCATTCTGATATTTTTTTTTTTGTAGGTACAACACCTCCAGGAACTCAGGTAAGCAAAATAAGGCTTCAGAAGCCTTAATGGAAATACAGCAACTGTGTAAATTCACTTAGTACTCTCCCATTATAGATCAGCTTCCCAGCTCAGGGATCAGGCTTTTTAAAAAATATATCATCAGAACACCAGTCCACAACTAGTATAAGAAGTTTAAAAGCTCCAATGGCATATGTATTCCTGTGGCAACCACACATCCCTTTGTTGTAGTCTTGTCATCTATAAATTTAGCAAGTCATTATTTTAAAGGACTAGAGTTTGGACTAGAATGTGTGGTGTGCTGAGCTCTTTTAACTGCCATGGACTTTTGTATTGGGTTTCTGATGGATTAATGTTTGTTTTTTAGCACACTTGGTCTCAAGGCTGTGGGCAGATATAACTTCTAAGCACTTTAAGGAGGAATGAAGAATTGTCTCTTGGGAGTAGGCATCGTTACAGGTGTCTGCTATGCCTTTATGCTCCTATAGTGGTATAAGTGAGCAAAATCAATGGAACTTTAACTCTGAATGAAACAAGGTGGGACTTAACACATGATTGGGCGGTGAATGTCAAGGGCTATAGGCT